ACCCACCACGAACCAATCACCTAACCCACCACGAACCAATCACCTAACCCACCACGAACCAATCACCTAACCCACCACGAACCAATCACCTAAGCCATTACGTTGTGACGTCCAGAACCAACCAAGCACGCTCTAGAGGCAAAGTTCTCACTGAGCAAGGCTACAAAAGATGCTCTCATATTCTCAATACCTCGTCTTTCAGCTATCAATTCGGTGAAACTCAACTTCTACATCTGTTACTTGCAAGCCAGCAGAAACCATGCACACAGTGAGATAAAAACACAAATTGCTGCTTTACTTGGAGAATCATGAATGAACTAAAATTTAGAAAGAAAAAAAAAAAGGATGAAAATGTTATTATTGATTCACTAAAAATTCTTGAGTATGTAACCAGTAACGCCATTTACGAATTGAGAAAATCCACTTAATCATTATGTGCACAAATTTACGTGACTGACAAACGTTTTAGGACTGCACGTGTGCTAAAATTGAGGCTTTAAAAATGTTTTTTATCTTTGCTTATCTCCGGCCAGGGGGGATCTCAGTGTGGTACTCACAGACAACAAGAATACACTGCATTCAAACAGCATACATGACCCAAACAACAAGGTAGCCTCTATGCCTTTTACAATTCCTCACTGCCCCAACAGGAACTCAGACACCAACAACACACAGACAAGATCTTTCTCTTTGTCTCAGCCGGCTCCTCATTCTCACCTCGGTAAAACGAGGATCATAATTTGTTTTATAAAGCGATCAATCAGAGCTTAACTTATACTCCTATGGGACAGAGCGCTGTATAAATGCAGTCTATTATTTTTATTATTAATGTTACTTTTCCTTGGATACAATGTTGGGCCCAGACTGTGACTCAAACTTGCAACCTTACAGAACAGTTTCCAGTCCAGCCACCTACACCATAGATTTGGCAGTTTGGTTCACAACACCGATTCAATTCAGTTCCTGGCAGTTTGGTTCATAACACCGATTCAATTCAGTTCCTCCCACTAAACATCCGAGAGACGCGGGGCAAAAAAAGGCAGGGCACCTCATCACATACTGAGAGTAGAAATACAAAATTGAAAAAACCCAATGCTCAAAGCTACATTAATCAAAAACAAACATTAAAAAAACAACCAAACAAAAAACAGAACAAAAGGCCCCCAAACAATCCTATCATGCATAGAAACCACATTTAAATGGTAGCTGCTATCATTAATTTTAAAAAAATAAGAGAAAAAAAAATGTGTCTGCCTAGTGGAAGGGAGGAAAAAGCTATGCAATACATTCACAAACCAACTAACCAATGTCAATTAAAAAAACTTTCAGCCCTTCCAAGTGTTCATGAGCTCTGATCACCAAACCCCACACAGAGGCGTATAACACAAGGTGATGATGATGAAAATAATCTATAAATAGCAATGATACAATAGAGAAACAAAACAGATTGTGATGATTCCTCATGGCCAGACAGCGAGGAGAGTTGGTGAGTAGAGATGAGCAGGGGGGTGGGGGGTGGGTGGTTGGGAGAGTGTCATCTAACATGCGCAGCCTCCTTCCTGAGTCTGAGGTTCTGCGGGCGTCTCGGGTTTTAGTACCACATCATGCACTGGACAACGGTCAAGGAACAAGGCAGTGCACAACCAGTGGTGGAACAAAAAAAAGGCTTCTTAAACATTCGAATTCAATCAACACATAGACACACAGATACAGGCAAAACAGAAGGTGACAAACAAGCTCAACCGTGATGCACCAGCAAACCATCTCCATGGTGGAACATCACAAACTCACAAAAAGCAAAACATTGGAAGTACAGACAAACGGCGAGCAAAGGGACATCTATGGTTAACAAGGGGCAACAGAAGCCAACAACATATATCATTTACTAAAAGCCACAGAATACATTGTTACTGAATACATAAATACCAATTAGGAAAAAAAAAGTGCATGCAACTCATTAAGAAAAATCCCACAGATTTCAAAACCGATCTCCACTAACAGCTGAAAGTTTAAAAATCCTAAATCTATCTCCACTGTCGTTTGAAAGTTTACGAATCCTAAATCTACGCGGGAGGAGGGTACGCTCCAGTGGCCAAGAGCTAAGTATAGGTAAGATCAGGTTGATCAATGTCCAGCAGATGTCGATTAAATGTCATCAATGCAAGGAGAGGGTGGGGG